TTGCAGTTGTTGAACATCCTACGCGCACATTTTTAATTAGCTTTCGTATATAGTATGTTCTTTTCTGTAATCACTTGTTATTCATTTCATTTGTACTACTGAAGAAGGAGTCGGTTTAGACTTCGAACCGTTTAGCAGTTGTAAATACATTTATAAAATAAAATAAAATTTTACGAGGAAAACGAAATTAAATTTAAATGTGATTTCCTTATCATATGGACATCGTGAATGGAGAGATTTATAAACGTGAAACGAGTAAAAAGTCTTTTTACGTAACACTACAACTTCACTCTGATGGAATTGCTTTAATGACTACTAGACACAAAAACTGTTATGCTGCTATTGCCACTGTCCTGGAAATACCACCGTCTATCCGTGATCGTGCTAAGAACAAGATTCTTCTTGCTATTTACATGGGTAAAAGAGAAGCATCCACGGAACTGTATTTGGAAGAGTCATTGATGACATTGTTGCATTAACTGTAAAAGGGTTAACAATTATAAATGAAAACAAAGAGAAAGTATTTTTAAACGTTAGATGTCAAACAGATAAGAATGATCAACCATGTCGAGCAATGAAATGGAAAATAACTCAGTATAATGGTTTTGATACATGTACCAACTGCTTCGAACATGGTGAAACACATAACTCTAGCGTTGTTTACTATCCCTATTCTCCTACTCACACTACTAGAATACAATCACAGTTTGAACAATCAGCACGTCATGCATAATCACTCGCTGGTCAAGGATCAGTTGCTGTCGTGAACGGAATCAAAGGCTTTTCACCACTTCTTCGTATCTATAAAAATGTGTCTGAATCAGCTATTTTTGATTATATGCATCTAGTTTGTGGGAGTAGTGGACATTTTGGAAATATTTTACGCCAATGGTTAACTTATGTCAAACCTACAAAATCTACCGAGATCAGTGACTTTCTTCTATCAGTTCTGCAACCTCATGATACCTCTGTTTCATTCAAAAGTTTTTCGGATATTGAATGGTTTCGGACTAAAGATTATCAACATCTGTTGCTCTATGTTTCTATGCCTATGGTGGTAAAGTTTATGCCTGCACAAGTTGTTAATCATTTCGTTTTATTTTTTATTGCTACCAGGTTAGTGTTTTGATGTCATTTGATTTCTTTTCACATTTGAAAATCATTTCGAAATGTGAACTTTGCATACGGTTATTTCCGATACCTTTTATGCTAAAAGTTAATCTAAATTTTGCTTAGAAGTGATCTGCTTAATGCTTTAGTTTAGGAGATATTAGTTAAAACTTCTCGGCCAAAACATATTAATGCGGTGCGAAGCAAACCGTCCAAGCGTTCTAGGGGACAATTTTATTGAAACTGAATTAAGGAACTACGTACCAGGAAAACTTATTGCCGTAAATATACTATATTTTCCATCCTATAAACTTGCACAGTAAGCAAAACACTCAGAACGAACTTTTTTCATGGCTAAGTTCGTCGTCATTCGTGGCACATAACTTATAACGCCACTAAAATGAGAGAAAAGTGAACTTACAGTGTTGGTCAAGTTGCAGACTAGACCTTTTGTAATGATTTCATTTTTAGAATCTAATGTCAGAAGCTACAATTCCTTCGCTTACAACCTTTGCCACTCAACTGTCAACTCAAATAAGAAAATCTTCGAGACAAGATGCACTATATTTTTTGTTGGAAATTGCCAGTGATGAATACAAATCAGTGCCACAATCAGATTGTTTAGTTGATGATGAAACTGGTTTAGTGTCATACAAAAATAAAAACAATCTTAAGTTTGTTGAAGCCGGTGTGTATTTTTTTGAGCAGTAACTAACTACACCGAAAAAAACTGGCATTTTGTGTTTGATTTAGGTACAAAAAAAGAGTGTGATAAAAAGAAAAAAAACTGTTGAATATGTCGTCTACATTGATTTATGATGGAAATGATAGTCTAAAAGAAAACGTTGAACAACAACAACAGCAACAGCAGAAACTCAAAGATGAGATAACTCAGTTCTCACAAATTGCATTTTCATTAGTCTTTTTTTATCTCGTTGCTTTTTCAGTAAAAAAAGTTCGTCCGAAACCTGGAACCGCAACGAAAGCAAATGAAAAGAAAACAAAAAAAAGTAATCCTACGTTACAATCTGTTTTTGGTGAGTAGAACGAAATAGAAAAAGGAAATTTCGGAAAAGGGCACTCCATATGCCAAAACGGCACTTTTCTGCAGGATTTCTGCCAGAATCTTTTTTCTCAAAACGTTTTTCGACGTATTGCTAGAAAGTTTTTGACTCTTACCTCGAAAAACAATTGACGAAATCAATTCTAAAAACGTGAAAACTGTGTTAAGTAATTGCACTTTCGCTGGTTTTCTTTAGCTGTAGAACCAGAATCAGTTACTGTTTCCACAAAAACGACGTCTGAAAGTGCCATTACAAGTGATATTCTATTACAACAATTGACTGTTCTATCTCCATTACAAAACAATGTATTAGATCAACCAAGTTCACGTCACGATTTACCTCTTTTAGAACCACCATCATCATACCCATCACAGCAACAAACTCGTGTCCTAAACCGTCCTGTTCCACTACGAAACTCTTCTCCAATCAGTCAAGTTTTATCAACTTCACCACATCCATCACAACATATGTCAACTCCTTCATTGTCTTCACAGATTAGTAGTAGTAATTTTGCTCCTTTGGCTGCCTCCTCTCAACGTAATTTTACAAGTATTCAACGTCCATCTAATTCATCTAATTGGGTGTGCCAGTAAGAAAAAGGCCGGCACCAAGTAATCAAACAACGTCTTCGACTTCACAGCCAACAGCAAAACGTACGAAAGTATATGAAGATGAACAAGTGAAAGAGAATTTCTTAAAGAGTGAGTATAAATGTGTTAAAGAAATTCTATGACATTATTCGTCTGCCAAGAAGATTTCGTTTGTTGTTTTGCTTCAAACTGGTTAAGTGTAGTGTAACATGATCTGTATTTTTCTTTTAATAGGTGTTGAAAAACTTCTACAAAAGAAACTGGAACCGATCGAATCTCAACTTAATGAATTGACTTTAAAAGCAACTACTATTGAAAATGTTTTACAAACAACGCAGTCTAATCTCAGTAGTGTCACTCCTTCAATTAAGGATATTAGAAAAAATTTGATTACTGTAAAACAAGTAAGTTTTGATAGAAACACACTGGAGAATAAGATTTTCACGTTCCGAGTCGGTAGATGTCAAACTCCGCAAAACAAAAAAAAGCGTTAGAAATGAAGCAAATCGCTGAAAATATCTTTTGAAAGTGAGAGAAAGTGAAATAGGTTTTGTGCAAACTTAAAGCTACTTTCACAAAAAACTGTCACAGGTGACGCTTTTCAATTTTTTGAGACAGACTGGTTTTTTGCCCACGTCGGTCCCTGTATGTGCTGATTTTGCCCAGATCTTAACATTTTCAATCTCGAAAAGTTTTTTTCATCATCGTTCCATGTCTGAATGCAAAAATAACAAGTCGTGAGTTGGTCTGAGGAGAAAAGAGTTTGTTTACGCTCCTTAGTGTAGAATACGATGGATGTTCCATGTTTTATCACATGCTCTGCTTTGGATAAAAATTTTTAGCTCGACCAACACCCTTAAAATTGTCTTTATACTAGCACTTGAGCGCCCAGCGGCGAAGATTAAGAAAATTATATACTCCATGCCGAAGGCATCCGTTTTTTAGCGTAGTGTGAGATTTGTATATTTGAAGCTTTTTTTACAAATTTTCGAGTTTTGACTGGAAATATACGCAAATTAAAAAGTCAGAGAGGAGAACAATGCACACGAGACGAAAGTGTTAAATACGATCCTCCTGGTAACAATGCACCTGAAACGGGACAATTAGCGAACGATATCAGCAGGTTTCTTGCTAACGATGTACCAAAAAATTCGATTTTAGTGAGTTTCTACTTTTTTGTCGTTGTTTGCTTTGTTGTTTAGAATGTTCTTGGCACAGCAACAACGGCACCGCTTCCAGTGCAAAAAAAGTTGACATATGTAAGTCAGAATTGGAATTCTTTGCTTTCTGCTGGTTTAAAAGAAATAATTGTTGAAAAGTGACGATTGAAAATTTTATTATTTTGTTTCTAACGTCTTTTAGAGTCGTACAGAGTCTTTTGAGTGAATTCTCTCTTATCTCGAGTCTCTTTTCTTGTTAAAGTTGTTTCCTAACATAAAATACTTCCTTTTAAAAAATGAGTTGCGATTTATAAAAACCGAACAAGGTGGAAAAAGAGTCCGGGTAAGGAGCACGCTTTCAGGAAGCACGGTTTCTTAAAATTAAGTGGTGTTTTCCCGTCTGTCAAAAACTAAAATTTCCTACAAAATGAAGAGCCACTCTTTTCTCATCTTCAGAAGACTTTTGTTAAACAAATCAAGGTGGAAGAATAATAAACTTATTTTTGTATTGCAACAATTTTCTATTTTCGCAAGACTCTTGATGAAATCGATTGACTAAAGTCCTTTTTGTTTAAGAACCAATTTCTGCTTGCCAATTAAAGCTTTTCAGTTTCATAGCCCTGAGACTCTTGATAATTTTTAATCAAAAACTCAGAATAACCGGCTCATCAAAATGAAAAACATGCTTGAGCTAATGAGTTCACATTAGCTACGGGGTAGCTAGGGTGCAAATCAATTGAGGTCCACTGTACTTGGATTTAGAATCAGTAGATTTATTGTTTAGAGTTTTTCAAAAAAAAATGCCATTTTTGCTTCGGGTTTGTGCAGTCTTTGCAAAAATCTTCGTAACTCAGCCAAAAGTCGTCAGTTTTTCACAAATTATTTTGTATTTTGAAGCCTGCGGTTCTAGCTATCACATGGGTGTATTTAGGAAGCTATTCGACAGTGTGTGTTGACTTTATGCACGTCAGAAAATAAACAACTACCGTATCCTGGTGCTTTGAAAAACTTTTGTTTTTACGGCACCAGACTCATTTCCATAGAATGTTTTGTAGTACATCAGAAGGAGCACACTTTAGTCTAGCAAAATAAATGAAACCCAAAAACTGGGTGGAATTATAATGGTCCGAAAAAAAACGAAAATAGTTTTGACGGATTGACTTAGAAAGTTGACATTTTGAGAGGCCATTATTTCTTATCTTATAACTTCGCCATTTTGTGCCCTACAAAAAACGTTTGTACATAGTCTTGCAGAGGATCAAACGACGATTCTTCAATAAAGAGTTCGATCTTGTCGGATGAAAACTGACGGAGTAGTGGGAAACACAAAAAAGTACCTTAAATTTACTTTATGGCCCACCCATTAGTCCATTTTATTCGACCCACTATTCGGAAAATTTTACTATTCATAAAAAAAATGACTGAATTCAGTCGCCTAACTAGAAAAATGCAGCCGGTACGGTGCCACCGCACTCTTACTAAAACAACTTTAGGGTGGTGTATGCTTTTGCCCAGTCACATTTACTTACTCAAGCTCAAATGAAACCGCATTTTTTCGGTTTTTAGTTTGGTTTATATTTAACTGGCTGGAAACGCTCCGTGAACCACTGACTAAAGACAAATGACGTTTGTCACCCACAAGACGGCATTTTTCACATTCTTTTTCAAGAGGCTGCGTTCTCTTAAAAGAAAACGCGTTTTAGCTTTTTTAAATTGTATTTTTACTTATGAAACAAAATTTCTACAGCCCCTAAGATAGACATCTGTTATGTAAGTTAAGGGAGGAGCGACACCGACTCAGACACAAATTTCGATGCTAATTCCGAATCTGATTTCTTTATAAAAATAAAAGTTAAAAAAAATTCGAGATCTTTTTTGTTGAAAAGAAATTTTGAAGACTTCAACACCGCGAAACCGCGCACGTGTTTCAAGAACCGCGGTTCTGGAATAGACTCGAATACTTCGCGTTTCATGTAACTATTCTGTTACGAAAGCCGCGTAAAACCGATACGAAAGCCCTGTAAAAAGTAATACGAAAGCCGCGTACGTAGCTTTGGCCGGTTACGAAAATCGCGTATGTTTTGGGTGAAACGTGACGAGCTGAAAGATTACCGTATTTTTCGAAAAAAGTGAATTTTTTTCATTCACTCTCACT